AAAAAAAAAAAAAAAAAAAAAAAAAAAGAAACTCGGACGCTCGAAAATGCACGAGAATTCAGGCAAAGCGTCAAATTTCTCGCACTTCACTCGAACACATGCTTCCCGAACCCCTACGCTGCACCTAATGACCTCTGCTCCTTCAGCCAAACTCCCAAATCGATCTGTAAGAAAGAAATGTAGAGAAAGAACGAGAGGGAGGGAGGGAGATCAAATTTCCGATGAGTACATTAACGACACATTATTCCCTGGTAACGTTCAACAAAGAGCTATTCTAGTGTGGGAATCAATGGCCATCAAGTACGTGTCCATAGAGTGTAAGTAAACTATCCTTCACACGACCATGTTTATGATATGATATCTTATGTGACTATTATGATTTATGATATGATGTGATATGTGCATGATGTGGAGTGTTATGTCAGAAAGCATGGAAATGTTATGATATGATATATGTGCAACATGAATGACATGATACGATTGACATGCAAAATGACGAACTAACATGAAATACAACCCCGACATATGCATGAAAAATATAATAAATGATATGATAAACGATTTGAGAAATGATATGACAAAATAATATGATATGAAGGAAGACGCTAGCGGGGTTGTATTAAATGATAATGAAAATGGAAAAATGTTGGGACCTCATGCATTATTGTGTGCTCATGCATCGGGAGATATCTCTTCTCCTTCATGATAGTATGGACGTGTACACTATGAGGCAGGGGAACGATCATTATGTTTATCATAATGTTGTTGTGACAGTTGTTATTTTTAATGGGTGTCCGACATCAACAGCTATCAGAGAATGCTCGCCCGACCAGAAAGAGGTCCAAAACGTGTGCGAACTGACCGGTGGGTCCATACTCGCACATATGAACCGTGTGTAGGGAAATTAAGTACACATCCAAGTTATGTATTTGCATTTAACTCCGATAGAGAAGCCGCTTACTGAGTATTTATTAAAATACTCAAGCCATGTGCTATTTTTATTTTTCAGATAAAGGCAAGGCTCACTTGCAAGACGGTGACATCGCAATTAGGAGACTATGACACATGATTAGGGTAATTTTGTAATTTGAATTATTAGACTATAGGCATGTATAGGTTAATATAGGTCAATTGCATTTTCATTTAGTAGCATAAAATTAGTATATGATATTGTTACTTTATGTTATTTCCGGTTATTTTGGTACGCATTGTTTTAATTCAAAAACCATAGAAGCGACATATAAGAACAAGGTCAAGTTTTGTTATAGATTTTCCAATGAGGTATTCTGCATTAAATATTCTTGATATGAATAAAGTAGCGACCTTAGATTAAATAAAAAATTTATAGTCGTTACAAAAATAGTTTGTGTATAGTATATTCTTAAATTTTTTATTTTGTGTTTATTCACCTCTCTTACATTTTTCAAAATAAAATTATGAACTAGCCTACAAAATTTACTTTGAGACAAATTTTTAATTTAATAATAAGATATTAGTCCCAATAAAAATAATTTAGAAAACTCTACCTCTACATATTACATCAATATAACATTTTTTTTTTCTCTCTAGGCTATACGCATCCACATCCTCACCTTTTGCGCGACTTTATTAGTGACTTGGACAAACTACAAAATGTTCCTCGTTTAAAATGGTTTACTAAACAAATTCTATAACATTCAGTGTCCAAAGGAAACATTTTTGTTCACCAAAGACTCATACCATTAGAGTTTTGTGTAACTGAACATTAAGCTCACTTAATGGTTTATCTTGTTACTCTCTTTAGAATTTGTTTGGACTATTACAAATTAGGAAGTGTCGTCTTTTTTGTCTCCTATACTTGTGAGAATTTTTGTTTTCTTCAAGTGTACCTCTTGTTCATTTCGATCTTGATCAGTTTCGTATATTCAATAAATACCTGCAAGACTAGATCATATCCTCTTATCAAAATTAATGCGCTCAATAGAAAATACTAAGGTGTCAATAATAGTCCTAGAAAACCTCGAATACTTAATTCAACTTGAATTCCAACTTTTCCCCTTCCTAAAAGATGACTTGTTTTCTTCTTTTAACATTTTTTTTATAAGGTTAACCCATTTTGGTACCTAGTTTTGTAGTGAAAACCTTGGTTCTGCGTTTTGAGTTCTTATGCCTTAGACACTACTCCCGAGAGACTTTGTGGTCCTATGATTAATGAACAACTCAATGCTGACTACTTAAAAATTATTGATTAATTAAAAATCAAGTGCTATTCTAAACCTTACCATGAGATAGCATTATGATTACTTAAAATTTAAGAGCTTACCTCGGGCTTAGGGTAGCAACCTAATTACTTAAAAATCAAGAGCTATCCTAAAACTTATCATGTGATACCATCCTAACTACTTAAAAATAAAGAGCCAACCTAGAGCTCGTCGTAATTTTAGGTAATAACCCGATTACTTATCTTGATTACTTAAAAATAAAAGCTAACTTGTAGCTTATCTTGACTTAGAGTAGTCTCATGTTTACTTGAAAATCAAGGACTAACCCTCTCGTGAATCCAAGCCAAGTTTATATGTCATATCTCAAGTTGTTTAGAAAGTATAGAACTTTAGCTCATGCCATTGACACGATTAAGAAACTATAAATAGGCTACTTAGTGAGCCTTTATACTCACTCAATGTTTTCTATGTTTTTGATAGAGACATATAAAAACCACCTCGGCCTCCAACACTCTTTTTGTTTTAAATATTTTGAGTCCATTCATTGTTTTGGGTTGAAACTATGTATATGTATTTTATGCTGTAATGTCTTTGTTTCATTTCACACAAAATTTCACCACATTTTCAAGTTAGGATTAATACTTCGAAAATCAAGTAGTGACAGATTGGTATAAGAGAAAAGGTTTATCTATGGCTAAGCTTCAGAGGAAGTCCCACTACGTCTAGGTAAGTAAGTCTATAAAACTCTAAGTTTAAGTAGGCCGAAAGTTTTATGTTAAAAGCTGTATGATTCTAGAACAACTGGTTAAGACAAGATTTAAGACAACCTTAAGATCCCTAATGAATAAATGAGTAATCTAAAGAATTCTTTTAGGATTTATAACATGTCGCCCAAGAAAATAGTAGCTACTAAATGAGGAAGCCAAAGGTTTTCTTTTGAAAACTACACGAAGGGGTGCCGAAAGTAGATATGAAAACCCATCACTGCTAGAAACCATGTAGTCCTTCATAAGGCAACTTTGGAGACATAAGCAAGTTAAGTAGTAGAAGCCATCACTGCAGCCCATGGCACACAGGCACCCATGACTTTCAAGGGATCACAGAAAAGTCTCAATAACTCAAGGACTCCCAAAAGTTTGATCCACCCACGTTAGGTGGATCCCGTGACAGAGGAGGCATGGCTGGAAGCAATAGAGACAACCTTCTAGTATATGAACTACCCTGAATGTGGGGAACATTCCTTGGACCTGGTTTAGGTTGAGAAGTACTATCCCGCTGTGGCAAAGTTGAAGGATAAAGAGACATTTTTTAGCTTCAAACAAGAGGAGAAAACCGTGAAGGAATATGATTTAGAGTTCACGAAGCTACCTAGGTTTGCTCTCGAGTGTTGAAATAAAATTCGCTCTGATACTAATTTGTAGAAAATAACAATCCGCTCTGATACCAATTTGTAGAAATAAATGCTTGCTCTGAAATTAACTTCTTAAAATAACACTCACAAGGGTGTGAAGGAGATGTCGAAAGGGGAGAGACAAGGAGACAAAAGAAATTCTGAAAAACTCTTTTTCTATTATACTGTACTAACTCTTTTAACTCTTCCTATGCTCTTGCTCGGCTTTATTACAATGAAAAATCTATTAATATATAGGTTTTCTAAAATCTAAACTTGGCTATCCATACGAGCTCCCTCCTAAAATGATTATTGGCCTTCATTCTTTTGTTTGTCCTTTACTTCTTACCACCCAAATTTTAAAAACCTTACTAAAATTAATAGAATTAAAAACTACCTTTTATTAATTTAAGTTTATTCCAAAAAAACTCCCCAATAAACTTAAATGCTCTATTCAATGATTTCACTTGCGCCACTTTCTAAATCGTGTATCGTAAATTCACTGCCTCTTATTGCACTTGATTCAGGATCACGTCGAGTGAATCTCTCTGTTGAGTCAGCATCTCTATATTTTTCTCCTCCCTCACTAGCTCGTCCACTATAGTATCAATCTCCATTAAAAGTCCATTCTCTTTCTTCACACCTTCTTTAACTTTCTTCACAAGTTCACAGATTACCTGCCCATTCTCTTCCTTCTCTTATTTGAGATAGGAGGAACTCTCAAAACAGCTCACCAATTTTCTTCTTTGACCTTTCAACCTTTATTTCTAACTCTTTCTTTTTTTCTTCCATTTTTATCCTCTTTCTTCTTTTTTCCTTGAATTACCTTTCCGTCCATTGGAGCTCTCTCTCTTCGAGCTCGGGTTCTCTATTATTCGGTTGTTCATCTCTATTCGATTTTCTCGTCTCCGCTATCAGGATTTCCCACATCCGCGCGCATCACCTCATTTTCAACAGTTTCCATTGTCTCACAACTATCGCCATCGTCTTTCGCACTGCCATGTTCTTTTGTTTTCAGCTCTTCATTTTGGGCCATCAAGAGAATGCCTCTGTTTGTTGCGTCATCCAAGGCTAGGTTGATCGTTTCTTCCACCTTTTCCTCAGCTCGACAATCTCTTGCATAGTGACCCATTCTGCCACAATTGTAACATTTGTCAGAGTTACAATTATTTACACAGTGGCCATATTTTTGACATTTGTAACATTGGACGTTGGAATTATATCCTTGACCACGTACTTGATTGCATCCTCTTCCACGCCAATTTGCTTGGCTTGATAGTCTCTTCTCCTTGTAATTTTCTTCATAATTGTTGCCTTGACTACCTCGACCATTCTCGCGACTTCCTCGACCTCTACCATGAGTATTTTGAGGGTAGAGTACCTTTTCATCATTTATTGATGCCTTAGTCTGAAGCGCTCGATCGAGTGCCTCCTTCTTTTTCTTACATTGCTCATGTGCCTCGAGAGAATCGGTGACCTCATCGACCGTGAACGTCGCTAGGTCCTTTGACTCTTCTATGACACATACAACATCATTCTCTATGTTGTATGTTAACGACCTCAAGATCTTCTCCACAATCCGCGTCTCGAGTAACACTTCTCCCTTTCGATTTAGTTGATTTGCCACGGTCTATACGCGCATAATGTAGTCAGATACATTTTATGACTCCTTCATCTTCATGCTCTCCAACTTGCCACGCAGAGTTTGGAGACGCACATGCTTGACTCGGTTGGTTCCTTAGAACACTTTTTCTAAAATGTCCCACGCTTCTTTTGAAGTAGTTGCCATTGCAATCTTCTCAAATCCCGACTCAACAACAGCCCGGAACAACATGTATAATGCTGCCTTATCCTTTGATCGTAATTCTTTTAGCGCCTTGTTTTGCATCGACGTATAACCTGTGGTATCCTTCGGTTCTTCAAAACCTTCTTTGATCACCTCCCATGCGTCTTGAGAACCGAGAAGAGCTTTCATTTGGATGCTCCAATTCTCGTAGTTCGTCTTCGTCAATCGTGGTAGCGACATTTGTCCCATCATGTTCACCATCGGCTGCTGATACCAATTTGTTGAAATAAAATTCGCTCTGATACCAATGTGTAGAAAATAACAATCCGCTCCAATACCAATTTGTAGAAATAAACGCTCGCTCTGAAACTAACTTGTTAAAATAACACTCACAAGGCTGTGAAAAAGATGTCGAGAGGAGAGAGACAAGAAGACAAAAAAAAATTGTGAAAAGCTCTTTTTCTATTACATTGTACTTAAACTTTTTAACTCTTGCTCTCCAATTTATAGGTATACCCTCTCTTAAAATGATTTTCTCACTTCATTTTTTTCTTTGACATTATTACTCAAATTTCAAAAATAACAGGATTAAAAACTACATTTTTCTCATTTAAGTTTATTCCCAACATCTGAGGGCAGACATGGAAATGAAGAAAACTCTCCACTTTATTATGGGCCTTTGGTAAGACATTCAAATGTTAGTGACTTGCCCATGCCTCAAGTGGCTTCGCTATTACCCTAAATGTCGTCACTCTATTAGACAAGCAAGCCTTATAGGACAAAATAGGAGATCTGACAAGAATCAATAGTCCAATCACCGGTGAAGTAGAGGAGCATCACCACGAACATGAGCTATTGCACATGCTACCACGGGTAGGAGGGTCAATGACCCTGACCTCCTACCCTAACGAGTATTCACAGATACTCTCCTCCATCATTAAGAAATTGAATTTCAATTATTTGTGGAAGGCTACTATGCTCATGTCTTATTTGACTTAGGCTCTACCAGCTAAGTTTGAGTTAGAGTCTTTAGAAATACCCCTCATGGTTTTCATACCGGTTGGGAAAGACTTATTACTCACTCAGAAAGCAAGGACCGACAAGGTTGTGATCTTAGGAAGAAACTTAAAAGGTGACATTAGCTACCTTAGACAAAAACTACTTCGACGTCATCTTAGGAATGGACTTACTCGACAACAGTGACTACATAATTTTTTGAGCAAAAATGGGAATGTTCAGACACCTATCAAGGGAAAGCTTCAAGTATATGGGGGTGTATTCAAAAGACACTCCCAGCGTAATTTCAGCCATGAAAGCTAAAATGGGAGCATGGGCATGTCATCCGTAGCAGTAGTCAAGAAGTTTCAGAACGTTTTTCGAAAGAACTATCAGGCTTACTCCCTATAAAGAAGATAGACTTTGGAATCTAGCAAGAACCAGGAACCAAGGTGATATCCACTATGTCTTAACCCAATTTCATCTCGAGTCACGACTGACTTAGAAACTTAAAAACATACGGTAGTTTTTTTTTTTGGTTTGTTTAAAACAAGTTATAAATACATTTTATTTACAAATTCAAAGGAGAGCTTAAATACATTGGACTCGATAACAAAATAACTTAAAGATTTAAACAAATAAAATACGGTGTGACGTTCTATAGAACCTACTCCAATTTAATGTTCATTCTCGACCAGCTCCTTCTTGTTATCTGAAAAATATGAGAGAACTTGATTGATACAAAAACTCAATAAGTAGTTTATTGTCGACTCTAAATCGTATCTTTAAGGTGTGTTTGGGTACCACACTATTTCTTGTAGCGTTCTTGTTCTTATCTTGAGAACTTAGACCCTTAAGTTCTGTTCTTGAGTTCTTGTCCTTGTCATGGTCTAGCCCAAGAATCTTGGTTCAGGGTTCTAAATTCAACCTTGGTTATGATCTAAGGACTTTAATTCCAAAGTTATGTGGTCTTGGCCTTAAGAATTTGGATTCTGACCTTCTTTTAGTTCTTATCCTTGATTTTTAACTCTGGTTCTTGATTCTTATCTCTATATCTGAAATGTCAGGCACACTTATTTTAACACTGAGTTTATCTGGAAAAACCCTCCTTTATTACTCTCCTAAAACTAATTATAGCCATAAGAATGCTAGTGTCCAGTGTCCACTGAGCCATAAAACAGACACTATTTCCTACCAAGACTCTTGCCCTTTTTCTCTACCACTAACTTTTGAATTTAAAACCTACTAAAAATTACATTTAAGGTTTATTCAACAAAACTTTTCCATAAACTTAAATGCTCCTACCATCTGTCATGCCAATTATTCTTGTATTTGTCGAAAAGTACTTTCAATAGCGGTTTTGTAAAGATATCCGCAACTTGATCTTGACTTGTCACATGCAGCAATTTCATACTTCCTTCACATGATCTCGGATAAAGTGAAAACGAACGTCTATGTGTTTGCTTCTTTCATGGTTCACTAGGTTCTTTGCCAACTCAATTATTGATTTGTTGTCAACTTGAATCACAGTTGCACCTAGTTGTTTTAGTTCCGTCTTGCTCAACAAATTTCTAAGTCATATCGCGTGACACACACACCAAGATGCTGCCACATATTCAGCTTCACACGTCGAGAGTGTCACAATCAATTGTTTCTCTGAAAACCAAGTAAATGTTGTGTTGCCCATAAAAAATACATAACCCGATGTACTTTTTCGATCGTCTATGTCTCCGCACCAATCACTGTCAGAATAACCTACCAACTTGTAATCTTCTGTTTTCGAGTAGAATAACCCAAGTGATACCGTTCCTTGGATGTACCGTAGGACTCGCTTCATTGCCTTCCAATGTGAATAAATCGGCTCCTCCATGAACCGGCTTATAATTGCAACACTTAATGAAAGATCTGGCCTTGTGCATGTAAGATAGCGAAGGCTTCCTACCAAACTCCAATACCTATTTGCATCTACTCGTTCTCTTTCATCAAACTTCGAGAGTTTTTGTTGACTTCTGCCAATTGAGAGGATATGGTCGACGGAGTAAAAACTGCTGAAGGAAATTTGTTGGAAGAAAATGAAAAAAAGAAAATAAAAGAGGGAGAAATCTTGGGATTTGATTTACGGGAAAAAATAGTGTATTGTTTTTTATTCACCTTTTTAAATAATTATTTTATCCTAAAAAGGGCTTAAAGTGGCGAAGTAAATGGGAGACACTTCCTAAAAAATTGGTAATTCTTTGTCAAATGGTAAAAAAATGGAGTAAAGGTAAAAGCTAAATAAGGAAACCTCAAAGCTTTTATCTAGTTACATGATACCAGGTTGCAATTTTTCATCTTGTACTTCTTCAAAATTTCCTTTTCATATGTCTCCTGCGATATAAAAATACCTGTCTCTTCTTGTGTAAAACTTCAACAAGCCCAAATATGTCATCTCAAATTCTCGTGTCTTTGTGCTTTTAAACTTTTCTATCATCTCATCATTGTTACCTAAAAAAATGAGGTCATCGACATAAAGAGAAACAAGTATCACATTACCTCCACTCTTCTTTGTGTAAAGTGCATGCTCGTGGGGATATTGCTTGTACCCGTTCTCCTTGAAATATGTATTGATACGAGTATTCCATGCTCACAGTGCTTGCTTCAACCCGTAAAGCGTCTTCTTCAATTTTAGTACCTTCTTTTCTTCTCCAATTTTTATGTACTCGGGTGGTTGTTTGAGGTAGACTTCTTCTTCAAGCACACCATTCAAGAATGCCGACTTGACATCCATTTGAAAAATCGGCCATTTGAATTGAGCCACTTGAGAAATGAGCAAACAGATTGTCTCCATTCTTGCAACGGGAGCAAACACTTCGTCATAGTCAATTCCAGCCTTTTGCTTGTATCCCTTTGCAACAAAGTTGCGCCTTGTACCGCTCTATCTTGCCTTGAGCATTCATCTTTTTCTTGAACACCCACTTCACACCAATGGGCTGACTTTCTTCCGTAATTCTATTAAATCTCATGTATTATTGCGATGAATCATTTTAATCTCCTCATCCATGGCAGTTTGCCACTTCTTGTCTCGCACCGCCTCTTCAAAGCCGATATTTTCAGCATCTGTCAGAAGATATACAAGTTGTACCTCATTTGTTGAATCATACAAGTCTCGCAAACTTCGCATTTTGGGTTGTCGTGGTTCATCTTCATCATCGAAAATTTTTAAGTTTGTTGGTATACTTGTTGGTGCAACGACCGATGGTTCTCCAACTTCGATATTAACTTCCGTCAAATTGTTCCAGTCCCCTTCGCTTGCTTCATTTACTCGCACAACACGACTCGCCTCACCATCTTGCTTATCGGGTCAAGTAGCTTGTATCCTTTTGTCTTCTCATCATACCCAATAAAAATATACCTTTTGCTTTTGTCTTCAAGCTGCGTTCTTCGTTGATCCGGTACGTGAGCATAAGTCACATTACCGAACACTTTGAGATGAGAAACTGTAGGCTTTTGTCCGCTCCAAGCCTCTTGTGGTGTTTGATCATCTAACTTCGCATGTGGACATCGATTTTACACATAGATGGCACATTGCACGGCTTCAGCCCAAAATTCTTTTGGCATCCTTTTGCTTTTGAGCATTGACTGAACCATGTCGAGAATGGTCCAGTTTTTTCTCTCGGCTACACCATTTTGTTGAGGAGTGTACGGTACGGTTAGAAATCGGCTAATACCTTGCTCCTCACAATACTCCATGAAAGTCGTCGAAGTATACTCGCCACCTCTATCGGATCGTACAGCTTTGATGTGTCTACTAGTTGCCTTCACCATCACTTTGAACTTTTTGAACACCTCGAATGCCTCGGATTTTTCTTTCAGAAAGTAAACCTAAGTTTTTCTTGAGTAATCATCAATAAAGGAAATGAAATACCTTTTACCGCTGAAAGACTCGGGGGTAATTGGTCCATGTTAAGGATATTTAGTAATAAATTATAGTTTACCATATATATTATATTTGATATTTTATTATAAGGCAAATATCTAATATTTGCTTTATTATCATAGGTATCTTTCAATTTATTGTTATTTTCATTTATTACTATTTCCATATCCTTGTAATTCATTTGATTATAAATAAGATAACTTTCACACCATTTAGGTGTGGTGGATTAATCAAACATTCACATGGTATCAGAGCCCTCTCGGTTTAACAACCCCGATCCTTTCTTTTCAATGGCTTTTGAATCCTCTAATCTTCTTCTCCACCACCCCTGCTGGTTTTGACGCCGCAG